GACTGTGAGTTTAAGTTACAGACTTTTCGCCATGCGAAGAAGTGATGAGAGCTGTCAATATAAATCGTCTTTGATGCTCTTCGAACTGCATTCAGTAGGGGCCTAAACTGAGGTGATGAAAAGGCAACTAGTCTTGAGATGCTGCTTATCATTTCGTAGAGGTTCGAAATCGAACCGCACACATGCGGCTATTCACCAGCATTCAGTCAAGCGTATTGCCTTCAGCATATTTGCTGAATGTGATACCAACACCCTAGATACCTTGAACCATTGACTTAGTACCGCCAAAGTCGCGAAGATTGTAATCCTGTCGTCAGATTCACAACCACGGAGTCGAAGACTCGTCACGACGCTGCTATCTTGTATGGGCGTTTAGAAGACACAGCACACATCAATACAGAGAGAGAAGAGTGACTTTGTGCTGTCTGGTGGCCGGTCTGCCTCAGAGTGCAGATACTAAACGAACCAATGTGGAATGAAATTTCAGGTTTTATGGAAGTGTTTCATGCATTGGTGGCAACAGCTGTGAGGTCAGCGCCAGTCTCCTGCTCAATAGACAGGGAAGAAACGAGTTGAGAGGGAAGAGAAAAACAAGGAGAGGAAGAGGTACTATTGTTGACAGAGTCGAGAGGGCAGATGATACTCACCGGCTTCCCATTCCGACAGAAGGGTTTTGTTCGAGGTACCTGACCTCTAACCTTTGACTCAACAGTCTGGCCCACAAGGCAGTGGAGTACATGGAGTTTCCCTTGAAAGACTCCACTCGGAGCCTTTGGCTCAATAGCCTGACCCAAAGGGCAGGGGGAGTAAGTCCAGCTCAGGAATGTGATTGCAGAGACTCATGGGGATCTGCTTGAAGCCTATCAGACACAGCCTTTGAAGATTTAAAACAGTGCATTTGTGTTTTACGACCGTATTATGTTACGCGGTGGCGGGAGAGCCTATGGTTCGCTGAGGCTGATGGTGGCTAGATCCTGACAGATGGTCTACGCACTGCTACTGTTGTGCCATTGGTTCATGTCCTGGGCGCCTCCTCGTGGCGACCGCTGGGTGGGAACTGTGTTACCCTCTTTTCCCTGCTAAGATCCAGGACACAAATCCGCATGAGTCAGTGAACTGACCATGTACTAGACCCGCTGCCTTTCGGGTGTTCATTTAATCAAAGGCTCTGGCTGAGGACCCGAGTCGTTCTTCTGTCAGGTGTGGGCGCCCTGCCAGTATCACTGTCCATCCTCTTCGGAGGTTAAGAAGTGGTCCATGGCCGTCTTCCCGTAAAACATAGCCATGGGAGACAACAGGTCTACGCGTTATAAGCTCACAGCTCGATTGGCCTAGAGCAAGAGCGCCATGCATTGTCTCTGACGGTGACACGGCACCTCCGAGTGTTCAGTGGTTTGCTTCTGCCCACCTCAAGCCAGACAACCCCTGGTCAAATTGGTGCAAACCCACCTGCGTCTGGCCGTGGTCGCAGGTGTATCCTACTACGGTGGCAAAACATAATATAAATCGTTCCATTATCTCAAAGGCTGCGTGTGACGGCCGTCAAGCAGATCCCAATCTGTCTCTGCACTCACATTCCCGAGCTGTTTCTGCTCCCCACTGTCTTGTGGGTCAGACTATTGAGCCAAAGGCTCCGAGTGGAGTCCCTCAAGCAAACTTCCGAAGCACAACCACCACCTCGCGTGCGATTGCACACCAATGCAATCGGTTGTGTGGCATGTAGTTCTCTAAGTTCGACCAACTTACTTCGAAGGTCTTGGGCGTTTGTATACATGCAACATAGGGCTTTTATTGTTAGGAGTGCCTTGATGGATGTCAACTTTGTGTTAATTTTTAACCCGGTCATTAGGTGGCCTGCCAATAATCGTTTTTTTGGTTTATGAATTTCAGTCACGTTGCATGGCCTTATTGAACGTTCCTGAATTGACGTTTCACTCGTGCTGTGCTCTGTCCTGTTGTGTGCCGTGGGCGCTGTTGTGTCGGTCTCTCCGCAGGACTGTGCAGATAAAGAATTTGCAGCGTTTGCAAGTTTCATCGAATTGCTTACAACTTCTGGCCGTTCGCCTGCTGACTTTAGCCGGATCTCTGTAGGCAACCTAGCTCGAAACTTTAACCAGCTATCGAGCAGAACTTGCGTCATTCCCTCGAAGTGTAATATTGCTTTCATTAGTCTTGGACCGCAGCCCTTTTAGTTAGGTCATGACGGAACTCTTGTCAGGGATTTGGCAATAACATTCTCAACAGAGAGTGCTTCGCGGATGTAGCACCACTGCTCTCGGTCATGTGTTTGCGCATCGTGACCAGAAGAATGCAGAAGCTCGGGAACAACATGAACAAATATTGATTTCTTGTTATCCCTATTAGGAATGCAGAGTTGATAAACTACATATTTTGGGCGATCTTTCCAAGGTAGATTAGGTAATATGCGCTGCGCTCAGTGAATTGCGAAGGCGAACTGCTGAGAGCAGGATAGCCTCTGTCTCATCTGCTGAGTCTAGTGTTACTCGAAGAATTCGAGGTTTACCAGAGTGCACTGAGGTTGGGTGACGCGCTACGCGTTGCAGCATTGTACGCTTTACCCGAATACCAATCGCCTCGCAGGTGGAACTCCACTGGTTGCGATCGTCTTGCAACTTGCCTTTTATTGTACCAGATTTAGACTCGGGAACATTGGTGCACACGAGAGTTAACGCAGCGAGTGTTGGTTTTATAGTTTTTGCCGGCAATTTGGGTTCTTTAGAATGCACCACTGGAGTTGACGGTGAAAGCCGCATTGCGCCACGCGTGCTCGGTACAGAAGATGGACCTATGTGTGTCGCTCCCGGTGTGTTTGTCGATGCGTACATTACCTGCTTGTTATCTACACCGGGTTGCCTTCGGCTCTGAGCTGTCGGGGTCATAGCTGAATCTCCAAATGAAGCGTCTGTGGTTGGAGAAGTGGAAGCAGGCATGTTTGAGGCTGGTCCACTTATGGGAGTGAGGTGACCCATTGGATTTAGAGTCACAGACGCTGCAGTGCGGTTGGAACGTCTAGCTCTCTTCTTCGGCTTAGATTCAGAGCTTATTTTGACTGGGTGGGGTTTTATCGGGGCCATATTTATCTCCACGGGTTCGATAGTACTATTTACAAATGCGCGATTATTTCAGTCATCCTAGCGCATTTCTCATGGGCAAAGATAAACCGTTGACAACTGGCATGATTCAACATGTTGGACAAAACCAAATTGTGTCAGCAACTTTGTTTGTCTGTCGTACTTCTTAGACCGATTTGCCTACACATTGCGAACAGTACGATCTAATGCAGCTAAAACAGGTTACACTGATCTTAAGGACTTTACTGCAATTGTCTGCGCAACATAGGCGACGTTGAACCATTTGAATGCTAGTCCTCCTCTTATCGTTTGCAGCAAGGCCTAGCTGAACGCTCACCTTGATGAGTGTTCTGTGCGCGAGGCTTGACGCACAAACAGCTCAGAACACGCACACGAATAGATAGTTGTTCAACCGTACCAAGGTCAGGCGGAGAGGCAGATGGAGGTCGTAACGCGCGGAATGTCGGATTCAGCGATCAATCGACTCGCATTGGTGGTACACACACCCACCCACACAAAGCGGCAGCGTGTGTTAATCGGCCTGCCTTAAGCGACGATGCAGGTGGAGCGCTGATAAGCGTCCCTAGAGGTGCTCAGTTGATGAGCGGAGAAAAAAGCCTGTAACATTTTTCTGCTGCAACTTGCAGGGATGGTTGCCGCGTAGTTTGCGAGCCCTCAGCTTCTTCTTCCGAATAAGACCAAAATCTTTACCGAAAAACCGGTCTGATGTAGTTACACAAGTGGAACTCGACAAAAAATATGCCGAAAACTGGGAACTAGAGCAAGAGTATAATGCACACAGGTTAGATCCAAGAGTTAGGAAACACTGAGTAGAGCTCGTCTAACTGGTTCGAACGAGCGGGCACACAATATTGTGTGGTCAGAATTAGAGTGGCCACAGAGGGCAAAGCGAGAGCCAAGTTAAAGTGCGGCCACACAGCATCTACACTTGCACGTATCACACAAAGTACACGAAGGCCTATAGAGGGATAGGGGAAGGTTGGGTTATCCCTTATCTGCTTCCTCAGTTTCGGTACCAGTATTTAAATTGGACAAGACTTACTTCATTGGGAATCGCAGTCCATTCACAATACGCGTGCTTCACAATGACTTTACAGAGCTTGGTAACATTTGGTTGGATCACGATAGACTACGCGATTTGGGATTCAGACTTCCCAATAGTCGCACAGTTACACATGTTCATGCGTACAGACACACAAAACACGCTAAGGCCGATGGGGAGAGAGAGGGAACCTCATTCACTACTCTTGGTCGAGGTGATCGAGGCACACGACTGAGTGAAGGGTTTGAAATGACACCCGCTGCCTACACAATTCCATTGCATTGGCATGACCACAATGTGGTCTAAATATCGTCCAATCGACTAACTCCTCATTTCTTGCCAACAAATTGCTGATTTCATGCTTGGAATCTAACGTGTCCAATTTGGTTTGTAAAATGTCCAAATTGTTTTGCAAAGTGTCCAATGGGGATTGCAAAATGTCCAATTCCAAGTAAACATGGTTTACATACATACTGCTTTGAGGTCTTTTCCAACTACCTTGTCTTGTATGATGATTAACAAGCTTTCCCATTGATCACGATTGTGTCATCATTGTTCGGTTGACCGCATGAGGCTCGTCGGTAAATACCCAAGTTCTACTTTCTGTCCCTCAAAAATTGAAAATGCCCTTCCTGAAAGAGGGTCGCGTAACTTATGCGTTCGTTACGAATTTTGTGTTCTCTTTCCACAATTTTCTTATTCCTGGTTGCATCGTCTAATCATGTCATCAATCATTTTGCATCCTCGCCTCATTTAAGCACGTATGGTGTTGTTTTTATTCCGCAAAACCAGATCAGTTGGCCTTCCATCTCTTGACCTTTCCGTTTCTCACTCCTCTTCACCAGGTTGCGCAAAATTCCCGGTCTTGTTGTTTTCGGGAATCCTCAGGTCTCCGTTGTTGCGTTCGGCTCTGACGTTTTCGACATTTATCGTCTTTCACAAATGCTGTCAGAGCTTCCCAATGGGCGAGGATGGAATTTAAACAACCTTCAGTTCCCAGCAGCCGTTCACCTATGTGTGACCGATTTGCACACAGCTGACGGGTGCGCCGATCGGTTTATTCAGGACGTTGCCAATGCTGCTGAGGAGTTGCGTCAGCAGCCTGGTTTGCGGACTCAAGGGACAGTAAGTCGACGTTGCTCATTTGACTGACAGCCAATGTTTCTTCTATCCAAGTCGTAGTGGATCCCAAAGAATTGCGATTATTTTATTCACGCGCATATCTCAAACTGGCCGCAGGTTTGGCCCATTAGTGCAGATCACGCAGCAATTTTCTAGCTGTGTCATATTTGCTGCAACTGTATTCAAGAGCAAGTAGAAAGGTTTCTGTGCGACTATCGAATTATGAAAAATCAAAAGGGTTTAATTGCGAATCGTCAGCGGTAGTCTTGGGTCAGTTAATCGTTTGTCCTTGTTCGGTTAGGAATTCGTATTGGTGTCATTATTTTCGGGTGTAGGATGTGTTTTTTATTGTATATGAACCGCTTCACAAATGTAAATGCTTCCGAAATAATCGTCGATACGTGTTTTAAAACACTTCACAGAATCGGTCTCTATTAGTCCTGGTAGTGTATTCCATAAGGTTGAGTCCTCATTCTATACAAAGCTGATGTGATACCTTGTTCATGCAGGGGACCCTGAGTTTGTAACGGTGTCCTCGCAAGTGAAATATTGGTCGTAGTATGGGGAAGTGATTCAAGTGTAGTACTCGATGGATCATAATAAGGTCACTTCTTACTCGGCAGTAGGATAGTGTAGAGTCCGAGCCTTTCACAACGCTTTGCATACGGAAGCTTCCGTAGACTGGGTATCATTCTAGTTGTGGTGCTGTGTTTTTTCCTGCATTTTACTTTCCCACTGGATTATCGGATGGTAAGCTGGGGCGCCGTATTCAAGGGTTGGTCTAATGTGTGAGGTGAATAGGTGATGGACGTTTTCTTCTGGCCATGTGGAGGAACTGCGTCTTATTACCCAGAGCATACGAAGTCCCGCACGGTACAATTTCTCTGTATTTTCTAGTGATCTCTTATCATATCGTGGTAACATTCCTAAGTCTCTGACAGATGTGTTAGGGTGGAGCAGCTGGCCGTCCAAGGTGTATGATCGAGTGGCTAGACGTCTGGTGATACTGATGACCTCCGACTTTCTTGCGTTAAGAGGAAGTTGCATTTCAGTGTACCACGTCGATAGTCGCTCTAGGTCATGCTAGAGGCGAGCGCAGTCGTCCTGATTCTCAATGATAGTCCAGATTTTCAAATCATCTACAAACAGGGCACATGGTGACTAGAGCTGCTGCAGAAGATTGTTGATATGAATAAGAAACAATACCGGTCCACTTACAGTTCCTTGAGGCAAGCCACAGGTCGATGGGAACCAGTCTGTCAGGTAGTCATTGACCTGTACTCTGAATTTTCGTCCTACAATTAACTCGTGTAACCACTGAAGTAGCGTGCCACCAGTTCCATAGGTCCTCAGTTTACAAAAGAGTACCTTGTGGTTCACTCTGTCGAACGTCTTAGTACATAAACTACACAAAAGATTTTTCCTCTTAAGCAATTGTTATTTTATAAAAGCGACTCTATTTTGAATGTCTCGTCTACAAGATTGTTTCTGCAGCGTCTGGATAACCGTTGTGACATGATGCTACCCATTTTCTGTCATCTTCCCGGGTATTAGACCGCACAAGTTCTTGTCATCTCATTATTGATCTGCGAGCTACAGGAATCACGCGTTTTGTTGCTATATGCTTGGTTTTCTTTACATATCCAAGCGGCAGTCAGTGCTGTCGGACATTTCAGTTTACCATATCATGAACCGATAGCTCTAAGCTTTTCACAAAGGTGATTGCCTCCTGCATGGTCACATTAAGGAGTCTGAATGCTTTTGTCCAACCACCTCACATGTTAAGCATGCCTAATCGCCTCTTCACGTATGCGACCCAGTTTACGATAACTCCCATGACACCTCCAAAAACAGAAATTTGCGTGACTAGCTGTTCTTTAACACATGAACAGCAGTCGTACTTGACTTTCGCACGCATCGGGGGCACCTCATATAGATGGAGCTGAAAGCTACTAACCTCAACAGACTGATTGCTCTCATCGTGGTATGCCCCACTTATTTTCAGTCTTCTCGATTCAACTCTCTCATGAGTTCATCAGGTCTGCTTCTGTGATTACTGAGGTGGACGGTACCGTTGAGGTAAAACAGTGGGTCCCCTTCAGTCATTTCGTCAGAATATTGAGAAGACATAGGTTGCGATATATCAACCTTTCGATTGTTCCCATCAGTCGCAAAACCAATACAAGCGGGATTCATAGACAGTTATCTATAAGAGGGAAAATTAGCACACCAAAATGTCAAAATCAAGACCACGGTAACATAATTCATTGTCTCAATAGTTTCTGTACACACAACACAGGTTGATAAGCCCTAATTAGCAAAACCTCACTAATTG